GGGGAATTCCCAGTCCCTTCCGGGTATGGAAAATATTGTCAAATGCCTCACTGAACATCCTTTCTAACTCGCCTCGACTTTTCTTTCTTGTAGTTCTAGAAACTGGTATTTTAGAACTACATTCCCCAAGACTCTTTTGTACTAGTCTCCACATGTGACCTCGCTTTCACCAAGAATACATGCTGCTTGAGGTCAGAGGGCAGAGAAGACAAATGTGAGCAGTGTCTCTGCAGAGACAGCTCAGACCTGCCGCGTGCAACGAGTGAGGCACCTGGATTTCCTGCTGCAGCTCAGCTGGGAACTTTGGAGTCTGTCCCTGGCGTCCAGGGTGCGGCAGATGGCAGATGGCAGGGACGTTGCACTGCAACAGTCCAATGGAGTAGTTGCCATTTCTCCTGGCTGCTTTGAAATTGGCTGAGTAACAACCAAGACCAGTCCTAACCTTTTCAGAAGTTCTATAAAGTACCTACTACCTTTTAATAAACTCCTCTCTTGCTTAAATTAGCTGTCATGGATTCCCCTGTCTGCAAGCAAAAAACCTGATCAATACCAGGTGATACCGCACCCCCAACCACAGGAGTGGCCCCTACAAACAAAGCACATTGGAACATAGTAGCCTAACTTCCATATGAATAGCTGTAAGGGCATTTTCCTTTGATTCCAATTTCTACCTGCCAGCATCATTGTAAGAGTGGAAATTCAGAGGTCATACTGGGGAGAATAGGAATGAGGCTATAAAACACCTGCTTCATCAGGGGTAGGCTGAGCCAGCAACAACGTTAACCCACAGAGACCTCAGGTCTTAGCAAAATGAGCATGAGAACTCACATCTGAAGAGCAAGATCAAGTTTGTTGGAGAAGGAAAGCCAGGATCTCAGGTCCAAATCGAGTTTCATGACAGCATTTGACCGAGTGAGGGAGACTTTGGGCAGAACCCTAGCCCCTAGCACAGGCTTGCATGCACTAGCCTTAGTGGCACAATATATAGGACGTGTCTTAAAATGTAATCGGTAACCTTTCCCCTGTGGCACGAGGAAATGGCATCTCCTACCCAGGTACCAGAGGGATTTTTAAGAGATTCTTCTTTGGATCTTTCACCTTAAGAATGAAATAACTTTCACACTGAATAAGCTACTGCCAGATCATGAATATGTTTTGGTTAGAGATGTAAAATGAATCAGAAGTGATTTGTCACCATCAGTCAATATATCTCAATAAAGTTTTCATTTCAACTGTTACATTAGTTTATCTTTGTTAGCGAGATAAAGTGGAGCCAATAGGAAGAAACAAAACCAAACCCAAGTTGTCATTGCTTCTGATGAGGCAAACCCTGTCCAGAACTGTCAAGGATCAGGCC